CGAAGCTTTCGGTTCTCTCTTTTGATTTTATATTGGAGTGGCTGGATTGCTTTTGTCTTCAGGAGTTCCCACAGAGGCCCAATTCAGAGGAGGGTCATATGTTTTCAAGCTTTCTCCTAAGGTCTGAATCCCTCCAAGAATGATTTTGGCCTCAAGAATTTGGGGGTTGGACTGGCCTGGGAGCCTGGCCCAGGAAAGATGCTGCTCTAGGGCAGCTGGTGGCTGTGCCACCCAGAGATACAAAGGAAGATGGGGTGGGAAGAGGCCCCAAGGACTCCTGGGGAACTGCACTGAGGAGGTGTGTTGGTCTGGATGCAAAGGATCAGGAAGAGGAAAGGTCAGCCCCCATCCCAGAAAGAGGCTGGTGGGTGGTGCAGGCCCAGGGAAGCAGAGGGAAGTGAGGGCAGGGCCAGGTCCAGAAGCAGTGCTCCTGAGGCCCAGAGAAGGCACTAAGTTGGTCTGGATGAAAAGGATCAGAAACCAGTATTGGTTCCCCAGGTGTCTGGGGCCCCAAGATATGGAATGGGACAGGACCCAAACTAGGAGAGACCGGTGGGGGAGATGGGAGGGTGAATGAGGCTGGGGGATTCAAGGCTTGGAGGGCACGATGGACTTACCCTGAGAGAGGCCTGGTGGGTGGTGAAGACCTAGGGAAGCAGAGGGGGGTGAGGGCAGGGCCAGGCCTAGAAGCAGTGCTCCTGGGGCTCAGAGAAGGCACTATGTTGGTCTGGATGAAAAGGATCAGGAAGTAGTATTGGTTCCCCAGTTGTCTGGGGCCCCAAGACAAGGAATGAGGCAGGACCTAAACTAGGAGGAGAGACCTGTGGGGAAGATGGGGGGTGAATGAGGCTGGGGGAGTCAAGGCGCGATGGATTTACCCCTGAGAGTGGCCTGCGGGTAGCCCCCTTGCTTTTTTTAAAACGTGCTTCTGAACTTTTTTCAAGTTGTAAACTTACAAATTACTCAGTGTATATTTTATTATCTTCTAAATATATATTTTATTTTTAAAATTATGTGTTTGTAGCTGGACATGCTGGCACATGCCTTTAATCCCAGCCAGCACATGGAGGCAGAGGCAAGTGGATCTCTGTGAGTTCAAGACCAGCCTGGTCTTATATGAGTTCCAGGCTAGTTGAAGCTACAGGGAGACCCTGTCTTAAAAAAAAAAAAAAAAAATGTGTGTGTGTGTGTTTGGGTCCGTGGAGGCCAGTGCCTGTGGAGGTCAGAAGCATTTCTCTGGCTGCTTTTTCAAGGACCTGAGTTCAGTTCCCAGAACCTACATGGTGGTTAATAACTGTAACTGCAGTTCCAGGGGATCTAATGCCCTCTTCTAGCCTCCACAGGCATTGCACAACATGGATGCACTTACATGCAGGTAGTACACTCACACACATAAAACAAAATAAATAAATAATTAAACAATAATAAGGTTACGAACTAGGAGGGCTTAAATGCATTGATAAAATATCATCTATACAAGGCTTAGTGTTCAAAATTTAGAATTTTTATAGTAAATCATGGTCTATTTACAAGTTAACGTTTAGTTAATCATTTAGAGTATTATTTTGAAAAAATACGTGTTCACAATTATAATGGTGAGATAAATTGAGCACAGTAATAGCAAAATGCAAAGCTGAAAAAATGAGATACGTGTGTGTAGGAAGAGGTTCATTAAGGCATTAGTATATTTTGGGGGCTGAAGTTGTGGATGATTTTTATTTTCTCCTTTACACTTTTTTTTTGAAATGTGTTGAGTGTTTTGCTTACATATGTATTAGTGCACTATGCACGTGAAGTGCCTGTGCAGGCCAGAGAGAGAGTCAGATCCCCTGGAACTGGGTTATAGACAGTTCTAAGCTACCATGTGAGCACTGGGAATTGAACTGGATTCTCCGCAAAACCAGCAAGTTCTCTTAACTACTGAGCCATCTCTCCAGCCTTTCCTTTATACTTTTCAAGTGTATTTCTTGGTAATTGAAACAATTTAAAAACTCAATTTGTGCATCAATAATAATACTAAATAACTCAAAATTTTTCATTTTTTAATTTTATAAGTATAATACAAGAAAACTAAAAGATACCTCACATTGACAAAAGCTATTGTAAAAAAATAGATGTTAAATGATGAACTACAACTGTATCAATTTGACAAACATTTCTTGCACGTATTTAAAATTTTTTTTTTTCACCAGGCGTGGTGGTGCATGCCTTTAATCCCAGCACTCGGGAGGCAGCAGCAGGCTGATCTCTGTGCGTTCAAGGCCAGCCTGGTCTACATAGTGAGTTCCAGAACAGCTGAGGCTACAGGGAGACCCTGTCTCAAAAAGACCAAAAAAAAATTTTTTTTTTCATATTTTATTATTTTTATTTTATGTGTATGTGTGTATAGGTAAGTACACCCATGTTATGTAATGCCCGCAGAGGACAGAAGAGGCTGTCGGATTTCCTGGAACTGGAGTTACGGACAATTGTTAGCTGCTATGTGGGTGCTGGGATTTGAACTCAGGTCTTCTGCAAGAACAACCAGTGTTCTTAACTGCTGAGCCATCTCTCCAGCCTCCCCACACATATTTTTTATAAATTACATGTTTCCACATAAAAATTTATTATGTTCTACAAATTCAGCTACTATTTAAATTTTTGTTTTGAAACAGGGACTCTCTATCTAGCCTGGAACTCAGTATTTAGACTATGCTGACCTCGATCTCATAGATATCCACCTGACTTTGCTTCTGAGTGCTAGGATTAAAGGTGTGTCTCATCAGACGTGACCTACTTTAACTTTTTTTTTTTTTTTTTTTGTCTTTTTGAGACAGGGTCTCCCTGTAGCCTCAGCTGTCCTGGAACTCACTATGTAGACCAGGCTGGCCTCCAGTCAAAGTCACAAAGATCCATCTGCCTCTGCCTCCCAAATGCTGAGATTAAAGGTGTGAGCCACCATGCCCGGCCTACTTTAACTTTTTTAAAAATGAAGTTTTGTGTGCTAACTTACTTTCATTCATATTGATGAACTCTTGATTGACCTCTTCATCTCCAGTTTTGCTGTTCTTTGACTTTTTAATGACATGAGCTCGATCATGGATATGATGGCCAATAGCCATTTTTTCTAGTCCACTGTCAGAATCTCTCATTGTTCTTCTGGTTTCCTTTATCTGTAAAAGTAAAGCAAGTAAAAATTTAGTTAATATATAGAATAGGAATGCAGGCAAATTTCTGTGAGATTGAAGCCAGCCTGGTCTACATAGCAAGTTCCAGGTAAGTTGGGGCTACAGGGAAACCCTAGCTCAAAAAAATCTATATAGATTGGATTTAATTCTACAATATTCAGGGCCTGTTTACTTACTGAGGTAAGGCTAAAGATCTATTGCTCTAAAAATACAAGATTTTGTACAATTAATAAACTGATTAGTAACAATAGTTCCACTATCAAAATAAGTCTCAAATAAATTTTCAATTTACAATTTAACCTTTTTCCAAGAGTGCAATAAAATATTAAAACAAAGAATAGCTATATAAAATAGTACCTTTGAAACTGTCTTTGACAATGTAATAGAAGTTAGTGAATACAACAAATTTACGTTAAAGGCTTGAGTCTCATAGCACCTACCTCCTAACTACGAAAGTATTAGATTGCTTATTATAATAGCCAAAGATTATTAACATGATTTGCTGACAGATAGCTATAATTAAGTTCAATTTACATTAAGACTTTGCCATTTTCACTAAGTTAAGTATCAGTGAATTTGCCAAACTATGCAAGAATAACACTGATATGTGTATGCTTATATTTAAGAACCAAAAAGGGAAGTAATTTCTATTTACTAGTCTGGTAAACCTAAAATTTTACTGTAAACACTAATAAGGCAATGAAGAAACACAAATTTTCATATTACAGTTTGAAAAAGCCAAGAGTGTTAATCACTGTGTAATTTATATGTAAAAATGAGGGGTACACACGCCTTACAACCAAGATATAACTATTCCTAGATCCTTTACAGAAAGTCACGGATAAAATTTTGTGCTATATTAATATTCTGGGTACTATATAATAATTTTTTAAAAAGAACGCATGGTTACAAGTTCCAACTTGAATTTTAGAAACATTACTGAACAATGGACAAGCTGCAGAGGACATATACAATAATGATACCATTTGTATAAAGTTAAAAAACCTATTGAAAACTATCATATTTTGTGATATATACATTGAAAATAAAATTATTAAAAATTCACACATACGATAAACTCCAGATTTGGGAAAACAGTTATCTCCTGAGAAGGAACCAGGGAAAGGGACCTGAGAGGAATATGTCAGAAGCTTTATATCTGTTATACTTAAGCTCAAAAAATAAAACAAGAGACATCTTAAAAGAAATAGAGAAAAATGTTAATGATTTGATGAAACTAATTGTCAGGAATATGAGTTTAAGATACATCTTTTCTGTACACTTTAAATATTAGTTCAAAAATTAACCTCAGATATAAACTATAAGTAGACATTAATTTCATGATACAAAGCCTATGTTTAATGTCTGTCTTAGCAGTATATAAATCTCAAAAGCATCAATTGATATTTATGTGAAAGATGTCACCCTCATGGCAAGGGGACAAAAGCTCTATAAAGTAAATACAGTTGAGCTTTAATGGTTTTCACAGTGATTAGTGCCTAGCTACCTTGCCTTCCTCCCATCCTCTGACACTGTTAGGCAATCTATCATTCTACAACTTAATAAAGCTCTAAGAATGTTTATAAAATACTCAAAGTCATACATTGCTACGTGAGCAATTACAGACCCAGGAAGCTGAGACAGGGCTGCTGAAAGTTTGAGGCCAGTGAGGGCTACATAATAACCCTTGTTTCAAACAACTACTGCTATTGCTACTATTACTGCTACTACTGATCCTACTGCTACTGCTACTACTTACTCCTCCTGGAGCCCTACGGGTTTGAGTTGAAGCCTGGAAAACCTTTGGTGGTTCATCTCCTACTTTGGAATATGTCATAACTGAGGAAGAACAAAATGAATGTCCATCTGGATCCACTGAAAGATGACCCTAGACAAAAGGAAATTGTAAATTCAAACTCAGTTAAATATAAAGAATGCCAACATTTCAAATAAACAACAATACTAGATACAGGTTTATTAGGGATACCTACGACATTACCAAGATAGTTTATCCAAATGGGACCTGGGGTCCTGATCTTCAATTTTTGGTGCTAAATTCTATTCCTCTTGTGAAGTACAAGTGATTTGCTTACTCAGAGATCCTTAGTCTTTGAGTCCATGTGGCTTAGATTTAAATAAAGTATCTCTTGAAACTTGAGATGCAATGGTTATCCTTTGTGCAGTCTTACCATTCAGTATCAAATGAACTAGGTATGTATCAGGAACAAATTTCTATGGGATCTAGATTGACATATTTCTAAAACCATTGCTAATACCTTAGATTTTCGCTTTCTTTCTTTCTTTCTTTCTTTCTTTCTTTCTTTCATCTTTTTGAGACAGGGTGTCTCTGTAGCCCCAGCTGTCCTGGAACTTACTTTGTAGACCAGGCTGGCCTTGAAGTCACAGAGATTCACCTGCCTGTGCCTCCCGAGTACTGGGATCAAAGGCATGTACCACCAGCCCAATTTTAGGATTCTTAAATGATATCCAAAGTGGATACTGGAATGATTTATATCATCTTCAAACTGAATCAAGGTATTTGCTTTGACACTAATTTTATGAGAACAGTAGGAATCTTAGTGTTTGTTTATAATAATATTTAGACTGTATAGGTCTAATCTCATATTCAAACAGTTCTAGAATTTCTATTTTCAGAGATTTTTTTGATACTAAAAATTTCTAAGATGCATTGCAACTTTTTAATTAGACAGGTAAATAAAATATGCAAATACAGTTAAGTGATTCAGGATAATGTACTGAGATTGGATTTTTAAAATTATGAAAGTCAACTAATATTACTTTTTAAACTTGTAGGTTTTAATATAAATTTAATGAGACATGACTAAAAGTTTTTCTTAATTGAATAAGAAAATATCAGTACACTAAAATCATTTAAACTTTTGTTTCAGGAATAAATTATGTAAGTACCATATATAAGTTAATCATATAAGATATATTTTAAACCGTTTTAATTATGGCTAAAAAAGTGTTTGAGAGTCACTATAATATAGGGTATGAATGACTGGAAATAATGTTCTCAGTTTATTTTTAGTACTTACAAAGTTTCTTTGTAACTCCCGTATACTGTTTCGCATATTTAACATCATTCTGTCCATTGTCTGAAAAGGGTTGACATCTGTACACTACAGGATATTAGAAAGTGTATCATTAACTACAACACCAATGAAGCAAATCAACATTCCCAAAACAGTTGAAAAAAAAATGTCCCCAATTAATTTGAGATATCATACAGCATTCAAGTAGGCAAAAATAGTTTAAGGACTAATACAGTAAGAGTAAAATGAAACATATGCAAAATCCCAGTCAACATAAATGATTAGGGAATTAGAACACTGCAAATATATACATATATAAGCATGTAATATAGATTCATATACATACATATATGGGTATGTACATATGAATATACATACATATATCACTTGCTAGGTTTCTTAAAATGTAATTTGGTTGTTAAATACTAAATGGTATATTCTGGGCTGGACAAGCTCTAGCAACAGATGACTTTTCCATTTTTTTTTCCTTCTTCCCTCTCAATACCCCACCATTCAAATTAAAAAAAAAAAAATGGTTATATGATGTGTCACCTTCACAGTACCAAATGGCTGAAGAAGACCCCTGATTAGAAGCCTTCCTTGCACCGTAGCAGGGTCCAGGTGAAAAGGTCAATGCAATTCTATCTGCAGGACTTCAATTTGTTGCCTGCTGACAGATCAGGTCATATTATTTCAAAATAACAAGAACTTCTCTAAGAAACAAAATGTTTTAGTTAAGATTTTAATGCCTAGGTAGAACTTTTTGCAGTAACTATACTCATTTTGGGGTTTTACAATTGAGGAAAATGTGTAGCCAGCAGATGCTGCTCAATATCCTGCAATGAATAGGCCAGCTCCCAAGAACAAAAAATTATCTAGGCCCAAATGTTGACAGGGCTGAAACTGAGAAATCCTGCCCTAGAAAAATCTGCTACTGATTTAGTATTTTATCACTGGAATATTCACTGATTCTAAGAAAGCACCCATTCTAGAGTGCCATATACTATTATAAAACAATGGGGTTTGTTTGGTTCAAGGAAGTCCTCTGATCAAGGAAGAGTCTCTTGAATGTTCTGTGCTTTGGTGCTGGTATTCAGCTTCCTGGAGACCGTTTTGATATAAGTACAGCTGGCCTCAGTAAAGATTTATCAAAGACCTATTCCTGTCTTCTATTGGGGTTTTACTATTAATGACAATAAAAATAGGTGAGATTTCTGCAGTAATATAGCTACTGATAAGCAGCTCATGCTCTGGTAACTCCCACTCATGCTCAGGTCACACACACAGACAAAAGACAGGAAAGAGGGAGACTTGTTGAGAAGAGGGTTTCAGTAAGAGAAGGAAGGGTAATGATAGAGTGTAGTATAGGGTGAAATATCCAAAACTCATTATACACATGTATGAAATTGCCAAACATCAAAATTGATAGAAAAATAGGTGAGGAAAACAAATTCCTCTTTAGAGCATGTATTCAATATAGGAGAGAAAAACAGAGGCACATTTAAATTTACTGAGGCCTACACCCAGGGCAGCACAAATTGGACTCAGTGGATTCTTAAAAAAGAGGACACAAACTTGGGGGCTGGGGTAGGAACACTAGGGTGGAACTGAGAGGGGTTAGGGAGAGGAGTGGGGAAGTGAATATGATAAAAATACATTGTATGAATTCTCACATAATTAATTAAAATATTTTTTAGAAGAATTCAAGGCCAGGTGTGGTGGTGTACACCTTTAATCCCAGCACTCCGGAGGCAGAGACCAGTGGATCTCTATGAGATCGAGACCATTCTGCTTTCAATAAATTATTCTAAATGAAAAAAAATGAGATTGATACATTTATGGGCATGCAAAAGCCTAAAGTAAATAATCTGAATTAATCAACTGCAATTCTGTAAAAATTCTAAATATTTTAACTCTAGGTTGTATAACAGAATTTATGAGACAGAAAACTTAAGATGGAGGAAAACATCAGACAATATGTTGCTCTCATTTTACTGTCTGATGTGACATTAAAAGATGTGTCCTGATGTGACAAAAAATGGGAGGTACAAATCGGAGTTTCAACTCCAATGCTTCAATGTTTCCTCCTGATTTTTAGCATTGCTCATCCCTTTTCATCATTCAAGTATCAGTGCCTTTGAAAAGCCTTTCCTAGGCACCTGTCTTAATCTCAGCCTTACTTATCTATATACGAGTATCTTGCTTCATCTCTTTCAGAGTATTGTGATGGTCTGGAATTATCTTATTGTCTCTTCCTATTTCAAAAAAAAAAAGCCCACAAGGGGCAGGGATATCCTCTCTATATTATGTACAACCAAATTCCCAAAATTAAAAATTATTCCTGGCACATAAAAAGGGCTCAACAAATAGTTGCTAAATGAATTAAAAATTATCTTTATCTCAAGGCTGGGGTAGATGAGTGGTAAAAGCACTAGTCCAGCAGGTTTGAGGTTTTGGGTTTGACCACTAGCTCAGCTCAAATCTATATAACTGTCTATCACAAAAAAAACTACCTGGACAATACACAGATGTCTCCAAGCCAGAACATTAAAAACTGAAATGACTGTTTTGACCTACCTGAACCCCACCCCATACTGTACCGAATCTGTGTTCTCTCTATTCCTTAGTTTGGCAGCAATCCCATCTATCTAATGCCTTATTCTAGAAAAAGAGGCATGTTTCTTCAACCCAACCAATAGGTTCTAGCGATTTACACATTTCTTTTAAGTATTTTTATCTATTAGTTCTTATTATTTTGTATATGAGTATATTGCCTGCATGTCAGTGGCACCTGTGCCATGCAATACACACAGAGGTATTCCCTGCAGGCAGTGCTCTTAACCACTGAGCCATCTCTCCTACTTCATTTATGTTTCTTTTTTTTTTTTTTTTTTTTTTTTTTCTGTCTTTTTGAGACAGGGTCTCCCGGTAGTCCCAGCTGTCCTGGAAGTCACTATGCAGACCAGGCTGGCCTTGAACTCACAGAGATCCGCCTGCCTCTGCCTCCTGAGTGCTGGGATTAAAGGCGTATGCAACCACGCCCGGCCATTTATCTGTTTCTTAAATGAGATAATTATTCTTTGTCACCACAGTCATTACCAAATAGACACTACTGCTTATTTTTATACAGAATGCTTCAATACCCCTGGTCTCCCTTTCTACACTGCAATTCCTTCTAATCTTTCTCTGCCTTGTAGGAACAATGCTCTTTTAAAAAGTGAGAATCTGGTTCTATTACCATTTTGATTAAAGTCAATAACTGCTTCCTCTGCTCTTTAGCTAATGTCCACATTGCTGAAATGGCCTGAAGTTTTCTGTTACTTTTTTTTTCATCAACTGTCCACTTATATTCTAAGGCCAAGTGATACTCAAAATTTCTTAGTTCCATAACCTTCAGGTCTCTGTACTTAAAAAACGCTATGCTGCAAAGTCTTCCTTTTCCCCCCATGCTTTTATGTCTTCTTATTAATCCTAAAGATTCAAAGTCTTCTCTGGGGCTATGGAGGTGTCTCAAGTACACACATCAAGGAGATCACAACCACCTTAACTCCAGTTCCAGTGAATCTGACTACCTTTTTTCTAGCTTGTGTGGGCACTGCATTCCTATGCACAATTCCCTCTCCCATAAACGCTCAATTTGAAAAAATTTTTAAAGATTACTCTGATTGACCTTAACAAATTCCACTCAAAAGATTTGCGTTGTGCGCTTTCTTCTATATGTGCTACCACAACATGAACGTCCTTGTCATTTTACTAATCTCTCTGTGACATAATGTTCTTCTGCTACTTGTCCCATTAAAAGCTCTTCTTAAGGACAAATATTACCTGTCAAGTTTCAGAGACAAATGGCTCAAATTTAGAACACACACAAAAAAACTTTTCATGAGAATATAGATACAAATACTCCAAATTTATGCTGTTTTCTGCTTATTCTTTGTATGTGTGTTACTAGTTTATAACTAGTGGGTTTATAACTGATGGGTCAGTGATGGTTGGGACCACACACTGACCAGGACTACTTAATTATGCACACCTCTTCACTCTATAAACCTAAACCTTGGGGGTCTTGGGGAAATCACTGACCTTCTTCTTCTCAATGTGGAAACACAAATCTCCTTTTTGGCTTTTCACTATTACTTGGCTGTTTAGTAGGCCTACTGAGGATCAGTAGTGGGTGAGCCCTGCTTGCTAGTGCTGTCAGGCCCAGGCTGTGACCCTAACAACTTCAGCAATGTTACTTCAGAAAACACATGTCCAAGCACACTTGGATGTAATTTAATACATGAAACAGAGATTTTCAGTATAAAAACTAAAAAGCCATTCAAAGTTAGTAAGATCCACACTAAAATTCACTCTGCTTGAGTTAATGAAATTATTCATTAATATTGATAAAGTAATTTTTGTCTCATGATACCAACCATACCACCAAACCCGTTAAAAGGTGTAAAAGAAAAAATTGTTGCCTAGAAAAATAATAAACAAATTTTGGTTGCATTTATTACATAATCATAGCTAAAATATAAAATAATGTACTATATGTAATGTAGTCATGTAGCTCAGAGGTACCAACATTATGGAACTTTTTAACAAAAAAGACCCAATGTATCTTTTTTAAATTATCTGCTTATTACTCATTATTGCATCTAACAGGAGCCTAGCAGGCAAATAGAGAGGCCACAATATTATTGAAAATATGCCAACTTTAGTAAGGCAGTTGAAAGAGAAGTATTTGCTCTAGACTAAGATACACATTTCAAATTAAAAACATAAGGTATAATGACTAAGATTAAATCATATTTCCTTTTTAATTCTATATTTTTAAATATCCATTAATCCTGCCTTAAATAATTAAAACAAAAAATTTTTATCCACATTAATTTCATTACTAAATACTAGCAGATATTAAATAAAAATTTAATGCCTCCTAAAGACCAGTACATGGAATGAGAAAATTTAGGTTTTAGAAAGGGTAATATATTTTTTAAAGTTTAGAGTTTATTACAGGCAAAGCAATGTTAAATATAGTAGATGGAATAATCAAAATGAATAATTCATAAATTACATTTCTCTATATGTGTAGAAGAATAAATGTTTTCTATATATAAAAATTAAAAATGGGGCCAGAGAGATGATTCAGTGGGTAAAGGGCCTGCTGAAAAGCCTGATGACTTGAGTTTGATCCCCAGGACCTATAGAGTGGAAGAAGAGAAATGACTCCCACAAGATGTTCTTTGACCTCCATCCATATGTGCCCTTAATAAATGCAATTTTAAAAAATTTTAATTAAAAATATTAAGTAGGAAATTTCAAGTGTTGAAAGTAAAATTTTATTTTTTTGAGTAAAATGTATGTATAACCTGGTCATGATATACATGCCCCAAATCTCAGCACTCAGGAGGTCAAAGCAGGAAGATCTGGAGTTCCAAAGCCAGGTTTGTTAGGGTTCCAAACAGCAGCAGCTTCCCCCCCTCACCAACAGGGACCTACAGACTTTGGAGCCCGAAAAAGGGAACTTAGCTGATAAGCACCTTGACCTTTGAGGTCAAGGGAAACAAACTCTGCTGAGAAGCAGCCTGCCTTTCCTCTGACCTCCAAAGATAGGATAAGCAGATTCTACCTGATAACCAGAGATTTTAGAAGCTGTTTTTCTCTTATCTTAAGAGGGAAAAAGTAAACACTTCCAGACCCTAATCCTACCTGCTTTTCCTGCTTCCCCCTCCCTGATTTCTCCCCCAAACATTCCCCCCTTCCACACCCTAAAGCCCCCATATATAAAGTCCCAGCTCACAACCCGTGGGTGGACATCTTTCCCTGACATCTTTCCCTGCCCTTCCCTGACATCCTTCCCTTCCCTGACATCCTTCCCTTCCCTGACATGTTTCCCTTCCCCGAGGGAAAGGTGCCCCATGCGAAATAAAGCTGTATCCCGCTGAGAATTCCATCTGTGCCTCGTTGCCTCCATCCACCCACTGGCTCCCGCCCGCTCTCTACCTATCAATGAGAACATGGCATAGTTGATGCTTCTGTGTAAATTCCTATTTTCCATCATAATATGGCTGATAAAGATGGCAACTGCTCAGGAAGTAATCAAAAGTAAAGAAAAAAAGTATTATAGCATTTACATAAAATATAGAATTTTCATCAACTGTGTATAAAAACTTAAGCAAAAAGGCTTATTCCTAGATAAAAATAATCACTTAAAATATCACTTTTTTTTTTTTTGGTCTTTTTGAGACAGGGTCTCCCTATAGCCCCAGCTGTCCTGGATTCACCATGGAGACCAGGCTGGCCTCGAACTCACAGAGATCTGCCTGCCTCTGCCTCCCCAGTGCTGGGATTAAAGGCATGCGCCACCACTTTTAAAATATTTATGGAAAGGTTTATATTTTTATTATAAATTCAAATAGAATTGAACAAAGTTACCATTCTCAAAAAGCCTATTGTTTTAATTCTATTTTTAAACTTAGCAGCATCAATCTTTCCCATATGCTGTGGTAGGTAAAAAGTTGGCGGAGAACGAGCAAATGGATGATGAGGCACTGAGACACAAATAAAACTCCATCAAAATAGGGTTTATTAGCAAAGGAACACATGGGACAGATTCCCTTCCGGGCAGGGAAAATATCTGCCCATGGACTGTGAGCTTGGGCTTATATATGGGGGCTTCCGGGTGCTGAAGGCGGGAAGTTTTTTGGGAAAAATCAGGGGGGGGGGAAGCAGGAAAAGCAGGGCTTGTAAACCTGGCTCGTTCCATCTGCCAGCCAGGATCTGGGTCAGGAAATGTTAAGGGAAAAGCTGCTGTACTAAACAGCTCCTAAACTCTCTGGTTAACAGGCAGGATCTGCTTATCTTGTCTTTGGAGATCAGAGGAAAGGCAGGCTGCCTCTTAGAAAAATCTGCTTCCCTTGACTTCAAAGGCCAAGGTGCTTATCAGCTCAGTTCCCTTTTTCAGGCTTGAAAATCCAAAGTCCATAGGGCCCTGTTGGGGAAGGGTGAAGCTGCTGCTGTTTGAAACCCTAATATGCTGTTTTAATTTTGGCCCCATGTTCAGATATAGATATACTGACTATTGAAAAAAAGTCAGGCTGGGGTATTGGTTTTGTTGTTTCCTTCTTTTGATTCAATTAATTTATATTTGCTATTACATAAATCCTTTAAACTTACACATAAACATTGAATACATCACACCCTAGGGGGAAAAAGGGAAAACTACATCTTAGTATAAGTTATAAATGTACAGAAATAAATGATTTTAATTTGTATTTCCCTGGTGATCAGTGATAATGAGCTTTTTGTCATGTACCTACTGGCCATTTGTATTTCTTTCAGAAATGTCTTTTCAGGTCTCTGTCCATTTTTAGTAGAGTTACCTCTTTCTGCTATTGATTTGTTTGAGTTCCTTATATATTTTGGATATTAATTCCTGAGCAGATGAATGGCTTGCAAATATTTTCTTCCATTATGAGGACTGTCTCTCTACTTTGTTGTTTCCTTTACTGTACAGAGACTTTAGTTTGAGGCCATTCCATTTGTGTAAGTTTCCTTTTGTTGAGAAGTAGGTATATTTCAAGGGTTCAATAGGTAAATGTGGCCTGAAGGAGCTTGTGTGCCCCTTTCACCATGTGAGGAGAGTGAACATGTATAGATCAGCATACAAGCCTTAGCTTGAGAACCCAAGTACGTCTTGCCTACAAACCTGTGTACTATTTGCTCATAAGCTACTCCATTTAAGGTATTTGTTTCATATAAGCCCAACTTTATATGAAAACAAGGGAGCAGTAATTTCAGATTTTCACTCAAATATTAGTCTTGGCCTTTCTTTATATTCAGAATTATCTTTCTACTTGACTTTACTATTTAATCAACATATTTATGCAATCACCTTAGTTCTGCTACATGATTTAAAGCAACTTTTGCAAGGTAAATATAATTTGGAGCAAGATTAGATGCAAATAGTTCTAAATAATGACTCTTACCAACTATAGTTTCACAGAAATTTATCTCTTTACTTGGTTATATTTTTCTTATTATGGTTCATGTTAAACACTCAGTGCTTTAAACAAAAGTTTCCATGGAAGAGACATTTATAATGGCTCACATAGATGACCAGTGGAGTAATGGCTGAGGTATACAAACATCTTCAGCACATTTCCAGCTGAATTATAAACAGATCTCATTTATATGCTTATAAGTAAGGTAATAAAATTGCCTCTTCTTGCTTCCTTCATAAATGTTCATTTATGTTCATTTAGATACATAAATCCAAAGAGATATACTCTTTCCTTGGTATGACTACAGCAAATATTCAAAATATTTTAATCCTTAAATGACTTTCAATGTTCATAACTGATGTGTTCTTGCACTGTCAATTTTTCCTGGTATTAATTTTTAACCTTTAAAAAACTGATTAAATTAAAAGTTCTATGTACATATATTACTATGTAACATTAATATTATATAAGTAGAATATATGCAATAATGGTACTACTTACTAATGAAAAATAATTTGAGTATTAATCTATTACTTGGGAATAAGAGACATAAAAAATATGAAGAATACTCTCATTTGAACTTGCAAATTTAATTTTATTCATCAAATGTTTTATGACTATCCAAAGTATTTTTCTTTATTTAAACTTATTGCATAGAAAATAGGAAAAATTAAAAAAATACTTTATTTTATGTGTATGAGTGTTTTGCCTGCATGTATGCATGTGCACCCATGTCGTGCAATGCCTACAGAGGTCAGAAAGTGGTGTCTAATCCCCTGGAACTGGAGTAAGGAAGGTTGTTAGCTGCCACGTGAGTGCTGGGAATCAAACCCAGGTCCTGTGCAAGAGCAGTCTCTTAACTGCTGAGTCATCGCTCCAGCATCTGAAAATGTTCTTTTGGAATATCCTAGAATTTTGTGAACTGATCAACTAAATATTTGTTAAATTTGAAATCTCTACATTGCAATCACAAAGGTTCAAATTATGGAATCCTGTGGATTTGTTATTCTGTAGCTGCCATTACTGAGGCTGAAAAATAACAGAAATAAGAGAACAATCTCAAATGGTTAACATATATAAATAATATTGCTCCTTCTTTTATCGAGGTGACTATGTTTTACTCTCCCAGTTTTGCTCTCAGATAAGACTGAGAAAAATATACCGCAGCTATTCAAGTCTTCTGAAATAAAGGTTAATCGAGATTGTGAAGATCCAAATGTATTCTAACAGAAGCTTAGTGCTTCCTGGTCCAATAAAAATAAAAAAATTATACTAGATTTTGTTACTTCTTAAAAAATTTAAAAGTACATAATACCAGAAAAAAACATTTTCTTTCTTGTTTTAATTTAAGATATGGGAAGAAGTTATAAGGGGAGAAATATGGACAAAAACAATGGCTTGGTTTCTTTATAACTATATTTCTTGGTCCTGAAATTTTTGGTAGTACAGTGGAATTCTATATTGCTAACAACTCACTATTCCAGGATTCAGCTTTTCAATGGGTCTCCCATTTTATATAATATGTCTTTGTGTGATACAAATATTAATCATACCCTATCACCACACATACATATACTTGTGCAACATTTTTTTCAAAGTTTCCACAGAATTTTCTCTAGTTGTATTTAAAATAAACTTACAGTTAGGGAATCTTCACCATCTTCATGTCCTCTACGATTATGGGTTCTTCCTCTACCATCAGAGATACTGAGCAAGTCTCTGCCAAAAGGTTCAGAGAAACTTCTCATCATGTGGCGCATACTTTCTCGGTGTGCAAGAAAGGAATCACTGTTGAAAATACAGAATAATCTAACATTAAATGTTATAATTTAAGTAAAATTAGGAAGCTAAATACTACAAAGAATTGTAGGGGTTAATATGATTGTTAACGATAAAAAACAGAATTTAGGAGAATAGAATTATTTGATAAAAGACCTAGTAGCATTTATAAACATGAATATAAATATAAATGAAATTATATTCTACTTACTATCAGTATAATTTAATACTTTTATTTATCCTGTGCTGTTTAAAAATGGCAAATACAAATTAACACATCACATGTAGTTTAAGCAGAGAAAAATTGTGAAAAAAAAATTGGGAAAAAAATGCTATCAGGAGGCCACTTTAGGCAAAGTATAAGATAATTCTGAATGATTAACAAAGAATACTGGCTACAAATTCCCATAATATGGCAGCCTAACAAGATTTGCATAATGACAAAACCAGCTAACGTGCCAGTGTTGACAAGGCAAGTTCCACGAGGTCCCACCTTTAGATGAAGAGCTACAGGTATTCCATAGATACTGAGGGAGAATCAGTTTTCTCCAGGGACTAGCTCACGGATGTTATCTAATCCCAAGTCGTCAGCCCTAAACACGTGTACATAAGATCACCACTAAATGGACTCAGAGTTTTATATGTGTGTGTGTATTTACAAATGTATGCATGTATATATGTATATGTAACAATAATAAAGAAGAGAACAAGAAATTGAGAGGGAGTGTGTGGGGAGGAAGCTGGGAGGAGTTGGAGGGGGGAATGATGAAAATACAATTCTCAATGAAATTCTCAAAAAAAAATTTTTTTTTTTGGTCTTGCAGAAGATGAGGGTTCTGTTCCCAAGAGCCATGTCAGGCAGTTCACAATTGCCTATAACTCCAGCTCCGTGGGACTCAACACCCTCTTCTGGCTTCTGCGAACACCCACACTCTTGTGGCATACACAGACATACACACATAAATATAAATATAGATATAAATATAAATATAAATAAATCTTAACAACAACAAAGAATAGTAGCTTATTTGTCATACTTTTGGGGGGTTTTCTTTTGGTCTTTTTGAGACAGGATCTCCCTGTAACCCAGCTGGCCTGGCAGTTGCTATGTAAACCAGGCTGTCTTGGTCTCACAGAGATCCACCTACCTCCATCTCCCCCAAGTGTTGGGACTAAAAACATGCATTATACTATGTCTCTGTGGCCTTGAACTCACAGGTATCCACCTGCCTCTGCCTTCCAAGTGCTGGGACTAAAGGCATGCAACACCGCGCCTTTCATTTTTCATTTCTCTACCTTCACTTTTTATCTACTTTTTTAACCTATCTTACTCTTGTCTGTCATTCTAAACCTTTTTCACTAAACGTTTCTCATTACAAGAGGATTTTATTTAAAAATACATATGGAAATGATAATGTCTAAGGCCTTCTCATATGTGCTTATAAATATCAACATTCTTTTAAAAATACATTTTTATTTTATGTGCATTAGTGTTTGCTTGCATGTATGTATGCATGATGCCCACAGAGACTAGAAGTCAGTGCCAGATAGTCTGGAACTGGAGTTACAGGTGACTGTGAGCCACCATGTGGGTGACAGGAGCCAAACCTGGATCCTCTGTAAGAGAGGCAAGTGCTCTTAACTGCTGAGCCATCTCTCCAGTCCACAAATATCAACTTTTTTTGTCTTTTTGAGATAGGGACTCCCTGTAGCCTTGGCTGGCCTGGAGCTTGCCACGTAGACCAGGTTGGCCTTGAACTCACAGAGATCCACCTGCCTCTGCCTCCTAGGTGCTGGGATTAAAGGTGTGCACAACCACACCCTGGCTTTTTCACTTTTTTTTTTTTTAAACATCAACTTTCTTAATCTGACGTTACCTCTTTTATTATAATTCCCATTAAAGAACATAACATCTATAACACTTTATCACAATAATTTTCTGATTTTTTTCTCACTGTACAGTAACTAATCTGTCAGTCAATTCCTTACTCTTCTGGAAGACATAAGGTACTTCATGACTAGGACTCACTTTACCAAGAAATCTTATTGTTCCCTGTTATCCAACTGAACCTCCCACTGTAATGTAGCCTCCTGTCAGAATTCTCCACTTCAGTTGCAATTGTTATATTCTCCCGTGAATCCAGTTCCAACACTTTGCTGTTACCATGAGGAAGTCCCCCAAATCCAACACCTGTCAGTAATCTTAGGCAGAAAGTGTTGTTCCTTTGAATTATGAGGTATTAAGTTTAAAATTAAATTCTATGGAATGAAGGAGAGTGCCTCTCAGACCCCCTCCCTATCCTCTGAGAAAAAGTTGCCCTCCAACTGACTCTGGAAACCCCCTCCATTGTTCAAACCCTTTCCTGGTACATCTGTTCATGGTTTCTATGGGAATGGTCTGGGGCAGAAGAGAAAGAACGTTCTGCCCCAGGTAAGCTAGACAATGGCTGTAGAGGTTGTATAGGTTAAGGCTCCGGAAATCAGCCCTAAATTGTTCAAATCATTTCCTGGTTATTCTGTGTATGGTTTCTATAGAAATCTCTGGCTTTGTGGTTTTTGTGGTTTTTATGCTTAAAAGCCCTGTGTTTTTACTACCTGGGGTCGCAGTACAGCTCCCAAGACTATCTGTGTCCCCAACGGGTTGGCGCCAATAAAGTGCTCCTTTTTACTGAGACTCAGTGTCTGAGTGGTCAATTTAGGGAATTTTATGGACCCCAAACACTACAAAGGAGCTCATATTTCTTCATATATTACTTTGGAGATCCTCCTGAAAAAAATATCATGTGAGGGTCTGGAGAGATGACTTACTAGTTAAGATTACCTGCTGCTCTTACAGAGGACCTGGGTTCAGTTCTCAGTGCCTACATCGGTGAATCACAAATACCTGCCCTGCTAAGTCCAGCTCCAGGAGATCTGGTGCCCTCTTCTGGCCTCTGCAGGCTCCTTCATGTATGTGGTACACAAAAACTCACCCAGGCAAACACACATACACATAAATAAATCCTTTTTTAAAATGGCATGAGCTGGGTTTGGTGGTGTAGGCCATTAGTCCCAGTGCTTGGGAGGCAGAGGTAGGCAGACCTCTATGAGTTCAAGGCCAGCCTGGTCTACATAGCAAGTTCTAGATAGTGAGACCCCAGCCACCACCATCTCAAAAACAAAACAAAACAAAACAAAAAAACAAAGCATGCCTCTAAAATCATAGCTGAGTGATACAGGGCTTGCCTAGCATATATGAGGTCCTTGGTTCAATTCCTAGTACCATACATAAATAAAAATTTTCATACATTGGTGTATATTAATTATCCATGGTGTGTGGTTACATAAGGACATTTCATATGAGAATATACTGTAGTTTGAGAGTATTTTCCCCACTAGTCTCCTCCCTACTTAATGAGATCAGGCTATCTTACTCTAAGTTAATATTGTAGAAAAGTGGTTTCTCAGGCTCTATATTGCCCTAGGAGTCTCCATTTAACAAGCAGCTTTTGACTCCATTTGGAGGAAGAGTGACTACAGTCCCTGGTTGACCTAGAAATTACACCGTCTGATAGACACCACTGGTTCAGCACAGACTGATAAATGACTTATTCCTGGGAACAGAATAAGAAATAAGACTGTAGGAGCACAAGGGCATATTAAAATCACATTAGAGAAACCAAGCTCAAGAACTTATCCAACACACAATACCCAAGAAATGGTGTGTGATGGTTCAAATGAAAATGTCCCTCAGAGGCTCCAAGTATTTGGAGATTTTGTCCCCAGATGACGGCGCTGTTTTGGGAGGTTTTAGAAGGTGTGGCTATCCTGGAGGAAGCAAGTCACTGGAGGTGGGCTTAGAGAGTTCTTAAGCCTTGCCAGATCTCCAGTTGTGCTCTTGCTTCCTGTGCCTATGTGATGATGTGAGAGCTTAGCTTCTGCTGCTCCTGCTCCAGCCACCTCCAAGCCACCATGCCTCCCTGCCATGATGGACTGTAATTCCCCTGGAACCTTAAGCTCAAACTCTTCCTTCTATAAATTGCTTGGGTTAGTGTTTCTATCACAGCAACAGAAAAATGACTAATACAAGGTGTAACACCCTCACCCAGACCCCATATAGTGATACATAACTAATGCTGCAATGGCATGGCCCTATACCAACCTATCATCTGATAACTGATGTGTGTGTGTATGTCGAGGACAGAAGACTCCTCAACTATTCCTAGAGGTTTGGCTCAGCTCAGTCCCCTGCTGTTCACACAGTCTACTCAACTGCCTGCCTGTCTGGATCTGGACCTGACTCGTTGTCTGCTCCAGACCTGGCTTGGCTTTTTACCTAGCAGGTGAACTCTACAGCTTTGCTTTCTGACTCCAGCAGCAGTGCCCTCCCAGCACTGGTGAGTTTGTTATTAATATACTCTCAGCCTGCTTCTGAACCCTCTTGAACTCTGTTACAGCTCTTAAAATGTGTATTCATTCTGTAACCCATATATAAACATATGTATGTGTGTGTATGTGTGTGGGGGCTATGTGATGACAGTTATATTAGTAATTAAGACAGAAATAAAAGAACCTACATTTGCCTTGGCTAGACTACCAAGGTAGGCAGATTATATGGCAAATTGGTCCCATTGTAACTTTTAAGCTTTGTGAATTTATTGTTATTCAATGAATTCTTCTGGCATTGTAAAAAGACACAAATGTGTTTATCTATGTTTCTGGCATGGTGTGTTCACAACACTGTCTCCCATTAGTCCCCTTTGTTCTCCTAGCTATTTCCACCTTGAATTTCATTTCATACATACATACATGGTTTTATGGTTCCTATAAAAAGGAACCACAAGGGAGAAAAATTGTGGTATTTGTCTGACACTGGCAATCTGCTTCATAAGGGTCATATCATAGACTTTTTAAGCTTGAGGAACCTCCATACTGATTACAACCCCACCAGCAATGTATAATGGTCCCTTTTGTTCACATCTTCACCAGTATTTGTTATTTTCTTATTGATTGCCATTCTGATTGGGGTG